GGGAGGTGGTGGCCATTTGGACTCTGTGACGGACAAAGCTAAATCTCTGGCGAAGTAGTTTGCTGTGGATTGAATTTCAAACTGTGTGTATTGTTTTTTGTTTCTGTGTTCTCTGAGTAAAAGTTCTTGGCAGGCAGTTACGGAGCTGCTGCCAAGTTTCTTATCTGTGGCGTGGAGTGTGGAGAAGTTATTTAACCCTTGGCTGGCTGTTTGGGTGTGTGTGTCAGACGGGGACAGAACAATTATATTGATCTCTCCCCCTCCACTCCTGCCCTCCTGTCTCTTCCCTTCTCCATCTTTCACAATTGCCCAGATGACTACTTCACCTTACTATGCAACCCCTCCCCCCACACACATTCAGACATGCACAGGCCCAAACCTTTTTCTTCACTGGTGAAGCCAGAGGAGTGCCCAGCTGTTTCCAAAGCTTTCCGCAAGGCCATGATTTTGGTGGCACACACATAACCATTCCTATCAGGTGAAAAGGAAAAAAAAAACCACACAAATGCGCTCAAAAGGGTTATAAAGTCGCCAAGTTTGCTTTTTTCAAGGGATGGCAAGAGAGTGATAGGTAAGGAGTTGTCAGTCTTTCCATAAAATACATGAAAGAGCTACAAATAGTCCCTGACTTATGATCATAATGGAGCCTGCCCACCATGGGATTATAATATAATATAATAATAAAGTTGGAAGGGACCTTGGAGATCATCGAGTCCAACCCCCTGCTCAGGCAGGAAACCCTATACCATTTCGGACAAATGGCTGTCCAGTCTTTTCTTAAAAACTTCCAGTGTTGGAGCATTCACCGCTTCTGGGGGCAAGTCATTCCATTGATTAATTGTTCTAACTGTCAGGAAGTTTCTCCTTAGTTCTAGGTTGCTTCTCTCCTTGATTAGTTTCCATCCGTTGCTTCTTGTCCTGCCCTCAGGTGCCTTGGAGAATAGCTTGACTCCCTTTTTTATGGCAATCCCTTAGATCAGATGTGAAACTCACGATGTCTTGTGATGTCGCGCGACATATCATGACTGTTTTGCCATTGCCGGCAATGGGGCGCAGCTTCCGCGGCCCATGGGCCGGCAGTTTGACACCCCTGCCTTAGATATTGGAACACTGCTATCATGTCACCCCTAGCCCTGCTTTTCATTAAAAACGTAACTATGTGTTCTATCTTGCTCAGTTATCAGAATTTGTGAAAGGATCCCCCCAAATCTTTTCTCCACCGGTGAAGCCCGAGTGCTCAGGTATTTCCAAAACTTTCCATGAGGCCATGATGACCAATAACAATAGCTACTAGCTACTGTTATGTGCTGGATTTTCAGAATTTACATGTGGTCAAATAATCTATTTCAGGGAGAGTGAAAGAGACAGACTCAAGATGATTCATCCTCTTGGGAAATCCCCCTCTTGCAGGAACCCACCACTGCATTCTCACACCATACCACACAAGAAATGTTTGGCAATCTTAGAAGTGAGCAGTCCTTGGTGCTCTCTGAGCTTTCTTGTTTTCTTGCAGACGTTTCATTACCCTAACTAGGTAACATCATCAGTGCTAGTAAGGAGTGCTGTTTGCTGTCAAGTTTATATTCTGGTGTCTTGCCTGTCTGAGTGGGTGGGTGGGCGGTATTAGGGATTCTTCAGTTGGACTGTTTACTAATGGCTCTTTGGCAGTTTCTTGATTGGAGTATTGCTTACTTGATTGCTGGTCTGAAGTTGACCTTGGAGTTAATCTATGCTGATCTGAGTGCTGATTACTGGTGGGGAGGTGCTGGGGTCTTTTCCTCTTTTGGGCTTGTTCAGGGGTAGGGAACCTTGGCTCTTTTATGACTTGTGGACTTCAATACCCAGAATTCCTGAACCAGCCATGCTGACTCAGGAATTCTGGGAGTTGAAGTCCACAAGTCATAAAAGAGCCAAGGTTCCCTATCCCTGGGCTGGTTGGTTGTTTTGCATAGTCCAGTGATGGCGAACCTTTTAGAGACCGAGTGCCCAAACTGCAACCCAAAACCCACTTATGCATCGTCGGGTGCCGGGTGGGTGTGGCCCATTGGGTGGGTGTGGCCCATTGGGTGGGCGTGGTTGCAGTGGTAACCGCAGACTGGGTGGGACTAAAAAGTTCAATCAATCAATTCCAACTTTGCAAGATCTTTTTTTTCCCCGCGAGAAGTTGAAATTGACTGATTGATTGAACCTCTCTTTTTTTTTTTTTGCACACGGTGGCGGAGGCCTAAAGCGAAAAGGTTTTATAAAACCCAGCTGAAGGCCTAGGACTGGGGTGACGGCGTGCGTGCCCACAGAGAGGGCTCTGAGTGCCGCCTCTGGCACCCGTGCCATAGGTTTGCCACCACTGGCATAGTCTCTAGATGTTGTTAATGTCTATGTGCCTATTGATGGCTGATTTGTCAGAGTGCCAGGCTTCTAGAAGTTCCCAGCTGTTCTCTGGCTTACTGAATATATATACATCAAAAAAGAGCAGCTGGACCCTTTTTAGAGGATGAACTTAAACTCACTTTCGCAAAGGGTTGACAATCTCTGTTCTCAAGAGATCTCGTGTCTTGGTGTAAGATTCCCCATCGTTCTTGTCTGTTGGGCGTAGCAGCATTGAATCCAACACAGAAGTAAAGGAGAACATACTGTAAGCAGAAGAGAAAAATGGGATTTTTGGAGTTTTTACCCCCCAGTTTTGCAGAGGAGGAGAAGGTCTAGTGGGTTGTAAATTGGGATAAGGGAAATTGGGGAATAGAAAAATGGGATAATACAGGTAGTCCTCAACTTACGACCACAAACTGAACCCAAAATTTATGTCGCTAAGTGAGAAAGTTATTGAGTTTTGCCCCATTTTACGACTTTGCTTGCCACGTTTGCTAAATGAAACACTGCAGTTGTTACATTAGTAACACGGTTGTTAAACGAATCTGGCTTCCCCGTTGACTTTGTCAAAAGGTCGCAAAAAAGGATCACATGACTCCAGAATACTGCAACTATCATAAATGTGAGTCAGTCGTCAAGCATCTGAATGTAAACCACATGACCATGGGAATGCTATGATGGTCGTAAGTGTAGAAATGGTCGTAAGTCACTGTTTTCAGTGCTGTTGTAGCTTCTAATGGTCACCAAAGGAACTTTTGTGAGTTGAGGACTACCTGTATTGTTTTTCAGTGAGGTATTTTGCAGATAATCTAGCCAGAACTCATTGAACAATGAAAGAAATAGATACAATATTGATACTGCATTCATATGGTTGTACATACATGTAGGGGAAGTCTTCTCTAAACAAGACCCTTCTAGGTCATGTTTGATTTTTTTGACTGGACTACTTACTTACCAGTGGACTCCATAATCATGTTACATTATTCTCCTGGAGGCACCAGGGAGAAGTCATGTAAAGCCCTGAACATGAAAGCTTGATATAATGCAACATGTATCTCTTTGTGCTTTGAGAGCTTAAAGCAGGGGTAGTCAACCTTGGCTCTTTTATGACTCGTGGACTTCAACTCCCAGAATTCCTGAGCCAGCTGTGCTGGCTCAGGAATTCTGGGAGTTGAAGTCCACGAGTCATAAAAGAACCAAGGTTGACTACCCCTGGCTTAAAGGAAGGTGGACAGCATACACCATTCTGATAGCCTCCATGGGTCAAGACCTTAGTCACCACGTGATTGTGGCTCTCCACATCATTTATCCTTAATCCTATTCTTGCGTAAAAAGGAACGCGATCTGCCAATGTTTTTTTCCAATTCCCCAAGTTTTGATAAGCCTTCTCGGATTCAGCTAATTGTAGGTCACAGACATTTCAGGCCCAAAGAGGAAATCAAAGGCAGGATCTTGCCAATTTAGACTAATACATCTCTCTGGTGATAGAGCCAGCCTTACCAGAACAAAGTAGCATCGAGGTAGCAAGAGTTGCAATGACCTTGGATCCCCTTCTTCCACCCTGAGAGAAGTTCCAAACCTTGATTGCCCAATGGCGGTGGTGGAGTGTCTTCTTCCACCTTGACACTGGCATAGACCCGAAAGTCTAGGAGAAAAGAGCAAAGGACAGAACTAATAGCCATGCAAACACCCTGCTTGCATGGTTGCTCCTTCATCCTTTCTAGAAACAAGCTCCATCAGGGCTAACATAGGCTAAAACAGGAATCAGTAAGTCCTCTCCCATCTCTTCATTAGGATAAGATCAACATCATTACACTGGGAATAGTGGGTGAAATAATCAAGAGTGTCAAGACAACTTCTACCTCCAACAAAGAGATGTATAACAGAGGTTGGGTGTTCCTCCAAAGCACAGTTTAGTGTTGGAAACCAATCAGATGAGATTTTCCACTTAAAAATAAAACCCAGAACATAAGCAAAACCAACCGACCAACCAAAAGATCTGTATTAAAATATAAGCAAATAATTATTTCAGTGATTTAGTTTTTCCTGTATACTTCCATTTACCAGGTCATTCACTTCAATGGAAGAAAAAAGAAACAGGGAGGAGATGGGGATTCGAAAGAAGGTCCTGTACCCTAATCCCTGCAGAAGACCTAATGCAGGGGTAGGCAACCTTGGCTCTTTTATGACTCGTGGACTTCAACTGAAGTCCACGAGTCATAAAAGAGCCAAGGTTGCCTACCCCTGACCTAATGTAATAACTTGATTCTCCAGTCTATACTCATTCCTTTTTATGTCCTAATTTGAGAATGATTAAACTGAAAGTTTAATCAGCAGTTCCAGAGGAGAACTGATAACCCTTTGGAAGTTGCTACAATTCTACATCCTCCAGTCCCAGCCAATCTATCCAACACCTATGGCAGTGATGGCGAACCTTTTAGAGACTGAGTGCCCAAAATGCACCCCGCCCTCCATCCACCATCGCTCTGCCCCCTGCTCTGCCCCCACCCTGCCTGCCTGTAGGGCCACCACAACAGATCGCCCAGGTGGCCCTGCAGCGCCATGGCAGCCACGCCCTCCGCCTGCACCCCGCAGCATCATCTCCGTGCGATGGAGGGTGAGGACTGAGTCTTGTCCTTGCTGCCCGGCTGCCATGTCTTTGGCTGCGCTGCTCCGCATGGGCTACGCCTGGGGGAAATTCTCCTCTGAGGGGGCTGCTGGTGAGGAGGGAGTTGTGGGGGGATGCAGGGCTCAGGCAACGGTGCATGTGCCCACAGAGAGGGCTCTGAGTGCCACCTCTGACACGCGTGCCATAAGTTTGCCACCACATGGGATGGTGGATGCTTTATAGTCCAGGCATCTTCAAACTTAATAACTTTTAAGACTTGTGGTTCAAGCCATGCTGGCTGCAGAATTCTGGGAGTTGAAGTCCACAAGTCTTAAAGTTCCCAAGTTTGGAGACTTGTCTTTAGTCTAATGACTTCTGCAAGAACCCTTGTTGCTGAGGATAAAAGGAAGTGGTAATTTTCCAATCTGCTCTCAGTCTCTTTAAGCCAACAGTTCTCAAACTTGGCAACTTTAAAGATGTGTGGACATCAACTCTCAGAATTCCATACCCCAGCGTGTGGGCTGGGGAATTCTGAGAGTTGAAATCTACATATCTTACTTTTACTAAGTTTGAGAAATGCTGTTTTAAACCATAAGGTAGCCAGGAAATCTGAAACCAATTCCCAGAATTCCATTCCCCTGCGTAGTTAGTATTCCATAATTCCAGGAGTTGAACTCCAGATATCTTACTGTTGCCAAGCTTGAGAAACACTGCTCTAAGCCATACCCAGGGAGTTGCATCGCAAAACAGGATTTTCGGGACTCTGCAAGGTGTCAAAACGCGAGTCAGGATGGCAGTGGCGCAGCTTGACAAAGAGGGCTTTGTTTGTTTGGCAATAGAAATAGCGGATCCCTCTGTATTGTCCATCTGTACAGCCAGTTGGTAGTGGTTCCTCCTAGAAAAAGTAAAAAAGAGGTGAGCTTATATATCCCCAATTGCCTTTAACCTTTTCCCTCTGTCCTATGATTTATAACATCTTTCAGTTCTGTTTATTAACATATCTTACTGTTAGTAAACAGAAATTCTAAAGTTTAGCAACAGGAATTCTAGCTCCAACTATGATTGTAAGCGGAAGACTACTTGTAAAGAACATCAGAAATTCTAAAGTTTAGCAACAGGAATTCTAGTCCCAACTATGATTGTAAGTGGAAGACTACTTGTAAAGAACATTAGAAATTCTAAAGTTTAGCAACAGGAATTCTAGTTCCAACTATGATTGTAAGTAGAAGACTACTTGTAAAGAACATCAGAAATTCTAAAGTTTAGCAACAGGAATTCTAGTCCCAACTATGATTGTAAGTAGAAGACTACTTGTAAAGAACATTAGAAATTCTAAAGTTTAGCAACAGGAATTCTAGTCCCAACTATGATTGTAAGTGGAAGACTACTTGTAAAGAACATCTTGTTGGCCTAAAGTGGAAAGGAGGATTCAGTTGACCCTATGTCCATAATATGTTAAAATATATCAATGTTTGAAGATGTATGGACTTCAACTTCTCCAACCAGCAACAGGTCAACATGTTTTCAAATTTTTAGGACTGATTTTGATTTAGTGCTCCATTTTGATTAGCATCAAGGAATTAGCAGGCATCCAACGTATCTGAGAAATAACCCTCTGAAGGTGATGTGGAATCACTGCATATCTACGGAAATGCAATGTAAGAATAATATGTGCAAATGTGCCTCTTCTGGTCTATGAAGATTCTCAATGATCCAGATCATAGTTGTCCCAAAGATGTTTTTCCAAAAGGCAACTGGACTTTCTTGGGTTTTTTTCCTTGAAAATGTTTCACTTCTCATCTAAGTAAATTCTTCAGTTCTGAACTGAAGAAGCTTCTTGGATGAGAAGTGAAATGTTTTCAAGGGGAAAAAAAGAAAGTCCAGTTGCCTTTTGGAAAAGCACCCTTGGCTATACCTCTCTTCTTCCACTTTTTCCACTTTCTCACCAGCTCCAAGCCAGCAACCGTCTCATCTACATCTGGTAGGTCTCCGATCCAACGTATCACACCATAGATGGGTGGATTATAAACCTCCACCATGGAATTGATTTCTAAGAGATGGTAGTCATATTCTCTGCTGTCCCTGTCCTCCTCGGATTCTTCTGCCTCACTTTTCTTCTTCTTTCTCTCAAAAACCTGTGTTTCTTCTTCCTTGAGGTCCTCCAAATTTGACGAAGGGGCTGATGGTGGAGAGTTCTGGGATGAACACTCCTTCCTTGGTGGAGGATATCTGATGGAGGAAGGGGATGGGCAGTCTTCATATTCATCTGAGGTAGGGGTGGAGGAGTTGCTGTTCAGGACCTCTTGACTTTTATCAACTTGTTCTTGAATGGGGGAGAGGAGGAGGAGGAGGAGGAAGAGAGAGAGAGAGAGAGAGAGAGAACATTTAACCATAATCTCATGCCAATATACAGGTAATCCTCAAGATACCACAATTGAGCCCAACAGTTATGTTGCTAAGTGAAACATTTGTTAAGTGAGCTTGCCCCATTTTACAAACTTTCTTACCACAACTGTTAAGTGAATCACTGCAGTTGATGTTAGTAACACAGTTGTTAAGTGAATCTAGATTCCCCATTGACTTTGCTTTCAGAAGGCCTCAAAAGGCAATCACGTGACTCAGGACACTGCAACCGTCATAAATATGAACCAGTTGCCAAGCATCTGAATTTTGATCACGTGACCATGGGGATGCTGCCACTGTTGTGTGAAAAACAGCCATAAGTCACTTTTTTCAGTGCCATTGTAACTTTGAATGGTTACTAAATGAACTGTTCCCAATGTGCAATTTGGAGCTCGGACCCACAATTTATCCTTCTAACAGTCTGAATTAAAATGAAAAACTCAACAGTTCCAGAGCAAGTTTTTAGCTCTTAAAACTTTGCTTAATAAAATCTCACAAAGAAAAGGATGTGGGAGAGCCTCCTTGTTTATTTAACTTATTTATGAACAGATATATAAGGAATGCTTGTGCCTTGATCAAAGATGTGCTGGTTGGAGAGACAAATAATATGGAGAGAAACAAGGCTATATTGTTGGTTGAAAACCCAAATGATTTGCAGAGAATGTTCGATAGATTGTAACATGCAATGGTTTTAAAAAATAATGAATCACTAACCAAGATGTCTATGTTTGACAGGGACAATAATGAATTATTACAACAACAACAACAACAACAATAAAGTTGGAAGGGACCTTGGAGGCCATCTAGTCCAACCCCCTGCTCCGGCAGGAAACCCTATACCATTTCAGACAAATGGCTGTCCAGTCTCTTCTTAAAAACTTCCAGTGTTGGAGCATTCACCGCTTCTGGAGGCAGGTTGTTCCACTGGTTAATTGTTCTAACTGTCAGGAAGTTTCTCTTTAGTTCTAGGTTGCTTTTCTTCTTGATTAGTTTCCATCTGTTGCTTCTTGTCCTACTTTTAGGCGCTTTGGAGAATAGCTTGACTCCCTCTTCTTTGTGGCAGCCCCTGAGATAGTGGAACACTGCTATCATGTCCCCCTTCGTCCTTCTCTTCATTAAACTAGACATACCCAATTCCAGCAATCGTTCCTTATATATGTTTTAGCCTCCGGTCCCCTAATCATTTTTCTTGCTCTTCTCTGTACTCTTTCTAGAGTCTCATCTTTTTTACATTGTGTTGACCAAAACTGTATGCAGTATTCCAAGTGTGGCTTTACCAAGGCATTGTAAAGTGGTATTAATACTTCACGTGATCTTGATTCTATTCCTCTGTTAATGCAGCCTAGCACTGTGTTGGCTTTTTTGGCAGCTGCAGCACACTGCTGGCTCATATTTAAGTGATTGTCCACTAGGACTCCGAGATCCCTCTCTCTGTTAATAGTATTGAGCAAGGTACCACCTATACTATACCTGTACATTTGGTTTTTCTTGCCTAAATGTAGAACCTTACTTTTTTCACCATTGAATTTCATTTTGTTAGATAGTGCCCAGTGTTTAAGTCTGTCAAGAACCTTCTGTATCTTAAGTCTATCTTCTGGAGTGTTGACTATTCCTGCCAGCTTGGTGTCGTCTGCAAATTTGATGAGTTCCCCATCTATCCCCTCATCCAAATCGTTGATAAAGATGTTGAAGAGCACTAAGCCCAGAACAGAGCCCTGGGGCACCCACTACACACTTCCCTCCATGTAGATGGAGTTCCATTGAGGATCACACGCTGAGTATGGCTGGTCAGCCAGCTACGAATCCATCTGGTGGTGATGCTGTCTAACCCACATTTTTCTATCTTATCAAGTAGTAGGCTGTGATCTACTTTATCAAATGCTTTACTGAAGTTCAAGTAAATTATATCCACAGCATTCCTCTGATCCACTAATTTTGTCACTTGGTCAAAGAATGCAATAAGATTTGTCTGGCATGATCTGTTTTTGACAAATCCACGTTGGCTTTTAGTAATGACTTTGTTTGCCTCTAGGTGTTTGCTGATTCATTGTTTGATTATCTTTTCCAGAATCTTCCCAGGTATTGAGGTCAAGTTGATAGGTCTGTAGTTTCCTGGATCATTTTCCCCCCCTTTTTTGAAGATGGGAACTACACCAGTTCTTTTCCAGTTTTCTGGTAGTTCCCCAGTGCTCCAGGATCTTTGAAAAATGAACCATGATCAAAGTTCGTTCAAAAAACATACAGGATCAATTTTTGGCAAAATGTGAAAAATACAAGAATATTCCCAAACCTTGATTAGGATAAATCTTACCTTTATGCACCTTGAAAATGGGGAGCAAAATCCCATATTTGGGTGATGGAAAATGACAGAGAGGTTTGCCTTTGAAGTAACCATCCCAGGATCCCACAGGCTCATCCTATAGAAATATTTAAAAGTGGTCAAGAAGATGAATGGAATAGCAACACTTTAGGGTTTCTCAACCTTGGCAACTTGAAAAGTGTGACTTCAACTCCCAGAATTCCCCAGCCACCCAAAGACTTTGGATGTAAAGTCCAGACATTTTAGAGCAGACCAAACCTGTTGGCACTTCTCTATAAAGATGCTGCATCTTTTCTTGGGTTCACATGGTAGCTCCATAATTATGAATGAAGAGACATTTAAGTTAAGGAAGCCTAACCAAACAAGTCCAGGAAAAGACACAGCTGGCAGATACATCTTGTGTGCTCACATTAAACCATCTTTTGGGCTTCAGATCCCTAATTGTGACCTTCCATTTCTCTCTTTCCATTTTTCTCAACTTTTTATTTATTTATTTTTGCTGAAAATCTTTCTTGGTTTGATGTAGAGGGAGATCTAAATCCAAAAATCTTTTCAATGCTGATCTTTTTTTCTGCTTGTTTCTTCTAAACGGGGGGG